TTTTCGTCGCGCAAACACCTGCCGACATCTAACTTTTGTGCGACGCTGGTACTTTCCGTCGCGCAAAAACAAAATTTCGTCGCGCAAAAAAAAATATTCGTCGCGCAAACGTGGAACTTTACGCGACGAAGAGTACTTACGTCGCGCAAAAAAAAATATCCCAACCAGGTCATTTTGGCGCCAAAAATAAAATATCCCTCGTTCTCTTACGCGACGAAACATCTTCCCGTCGCGCTAAATAAGTGGACCCACTGGGTACTGTCCTTTTTGCGCGACGAACCAATGTTCCGTCGCGCAATGTTGCCTTTAGTGACGATGTTTCTCGTCGCGCAAATGTTTCGCGCCAAAAAAAATTCCCCCCCGCTTTTTTTACTCTGTTTGCTCGACGAAAAATTGTTTTGTCGCGCATATACATTTTGTGCGACGAAAAGTTTTGGTGGCGCAAATTTTCAGTGGATTGCACGACGAATAATTTCTTTCGTCGCACAAGTATCGTTTGCGGGACGAATTAGTCTTCGTCGCGCAATCTTTCGTCTCGCAAATGGTGAAACGTAGTAGTGTTGTCAATGGCCTCAGGGAAATTTTTCTTTCTGATCTGGAAATAGATATTGGAGACATCAATATTGACAAATTGACCTGAAGGGTTAATTTCAGGAGTATAGCCGACCGGCTATACTATTTATAAAATAAAATAAGGGAGTTTCACTAAAACACCCAAAATGGAGGTTGAAATTATAAAAAAACCCAACACCCAAAACACTTTATAAACACACCCAAAACCCATCATTACACACACTCAAAACCCATTTATAAACACACCCAAAAAGTTGACTTTGAGGTTGATTTTGGGTGTGTTTCTATGTTTAAATAGTGCTTGGGTTTTTTTATAAATACATGTCTAGGATTGGGTTTATTTATAAATTTGTAATAAAATAATAAGGACCCGCCTAGGCGTCCCATTTTTGGATATTTTAACCGTATAGCCGTTCGGCTATACCGAATATTTTCAGGGTATAGCCGTTCGGCTATACTCTTTGAATACATTTGAGACAAACACGAAGCTTGCACTCGCATAGGACGGAGCTTGCAAACGCAGTCAAGTTTCGGCTGCTTCGTCGCCTCCTTGTTCGGCACCGAAAAATGACCCAACCCGCCTAGGAGGCCCGCCTATTCGCCTAGCCACCTATCGCCCGCCTAGCCGCCTAGCCGTCCCCCTAGCCCCATTTTTTGAACACTGCGATTGACTGGAAGTTTGAAACCCGAAATTGAAAAAGTTTACCTGCAAATTTGAGCTTGAGATTGAGATTTGGAAGCCAAAGCAAGCACAAGTCATGGGAACCCTAAATACAAAATTTGCTGACTTGGGGATTATTTCCTGTCTTGTGAGTTTTGCTACCATAATTGGAACTATATTCTGTTTTGTTTCTCTTCCTGTTGGTTTGAATGGTCTGATTGTGAATTTGCTACAATGTTATGAATGCGGGGTCGAAACTTGGCTCATTTACTTGATAGTATTTTCTAATTCATGTTTCTTTTTGTGACTAATTTTTATTTTATTTTATTATTTTTTAGGTTGATTGAGTTGATGGATTGTTGTTTTTCTGGGGGCTGATGAGAACACTCAGACTAATGGAGGAAATGAACTTATTTTTCCAGTTTATCCAGTCCTTCCATGCAGAGATACAATGCAGCGCTCAAGAACAAATTCCTGTGATCTTCTTGCCCAGCTTCCTTCTTCTCTGTCCTTAGACTCTGGGTACCTATATATCCTTTTCGTTTTCGCATTTTTGTTTACTCATTCAATCATAATTACCAACTACCATACATATCTTGACAAAAGAAATTAATTAGTGTTTGATATCATTAACCATGGGTGCTCATGAGCAGGATTTATGCACATCCATTAATATCAAACCAGCCCATTTGGTTGAACTCATCTTCTAACAGAGATTCAAGTGCCATGGCAGTGAGCTCAAGTTCCCATTTTTCCAAGCTAGTTCCAAAAGAAAGTCCTTTTCTGAACATATAATTAAATGTAACTATATATTTCTACTTACATTTTGCAGGAAAGAGATGTGACCAGAGTTTTGGCTCCAAGTGCAGAGGGTTGATTGAGCTGTTTGTCTCCAAAGATGTATGATGTTTTATGATGCTTCACTCAAACCTTGCTTTAATTTCTTATGTTAGATTTGAAATTTTATCAATTTGTAAGATGCTAATGGTATCAATTTGTAAGTACTTACGTATCAATTTTTAATTGATTATTTTCCAGTTCACTATATCAATGAATTAAGAGCTGGTAAGATGCTAATGGTATGAATCCATGTCTTGAGGCTTTTGAAGTGATTTCCCACTACTGCTGTCAAACATATTAGCTTTCTTTTAGCTCCTTCATTTTAGGACCTACTTGATTGGAACAATGAGATTGTCTGTGTTATTGAAGGATAGATGCATTCATCTGTTCTGTGTTATTGAAGGAGAGATGAATTCATCTGTTAAAGACATGTAGAGAAGCATTTTGTATTTGATACGGCACATAGGATTTTAGGACATGACATGCTTTTGCTTATGCTTTCAAATTTTCTTTGTCTTTTATTTTTGAAAGCAATCTAAGTTCTGTGTGTATGGTTGTAGTTGTGGTGGTCGAAGAAACATAGCCCATATTCAGGGACTATGTTAGATACGCATTCGTTCTCCATGTAAATATTTGGTTGTAGTCTTGGTAGTTGGGTTAGGCCATCTCCGGTCATAGGGCTAAATATAGTCCAATGCTAAAAATTTAGCCCTCCAAAATATTAATTTTTTAAAGAATAGTACAGGGCTAAATATTTTCATCTCCAACCATGCAGGGCTATATTTTAGGGTCCTTCATATTTTATTATTTTGAGAGAACCTATGGTACAACACTCATATATTCCACAACTATAGATTGTTTAATTTAATGATATACCCATTCTTAACACTAATATTATAGATAAACCCTACACTATTGAATTTCTATAAACAAACCCAAAAAAACCCCAAAAAATGACAGCTGGCCTTATTGAATTTAATATTTATTATTAAATTACTTTGATGCCCTATTGAGTGTTTTGGATATTTTTATGAGATTTTGGGGTTGGGTTTGTTTTAAGAAATTGATGGCAGTTTTGTAATTTATAAGAAGTTAAAAGCCTCTTTGTTATGTTGTAAATGGGCTTTGGGTGTGTTTCTAAAGTTCATTTCATATGGGGTAGTTTTATAATTTGGGCCCCTATAAAGTGAATCTCCCTGAATTAAACTACTATTTATAGACAATATTCCATATATGTGACCACATTTAAAATAATTTTTTTAATTATATAAATAAATAAATGAAAAAGGGTTTCAATAGTCTGATCTCCAACGGTCATGACCAAGAATTTTTTATAATTTTTTTAGACAACACTGGAAAACATTTAAAAAGGTGACCACATTTAAAAATTAAAAAAAAGGATGGGTTTCAATGGTTTAACCTCCAATGGATTTCATCTTCTCTCGGGTCAGTGCACTGCTAGCACTTCTTCAGGTTGTGAACACGTTGCTTCAGTTCAGTTTGTTGAATTTCTTTATTTTCCTTTTTGGTTTTATTCCTTTTATACCTAAGGTCACTAGAAAAGAAGCTGCAAATATGGGAAAAAACCAAAGTATAGCCGGGCGGCTATACTATTTTTAATTGAAAAACCCTGAGTATAGCAAGCGGCTATACCAGTTATAATAAAAAAAAGATGATCACCACCTGGTGCCTAGCGCTGCTTCGTCACATGTAAAAAATAGTAAAAAAAGATAACCCTAGTATAGCCGCTCGGCGATACTATTTTTATTATATAAAAAATTCGAGGTTAGCCGTGCGGCTATACTATTATCTAAAAAAATAAAAAGCGATCCGCCTAGTGCCTTGCTCCCATTTCGCCACGTGTCCAAAGTAGTATAGCCGGTCAGAAATGCTATTTTTATTTTTTTCAAACCATGAGTATATCCGTCGGCTATACTATTTATAATAAAAAAGACCACAGCTTGGTTCCAAGCGCCTGCTTCACCACGCATCAAAAATAGTATAGCCAGCGGCTATACTATTTTTTAATAATAAAATTCGTAGTATAGCCGTGCGGCGATACTGTTTTTATTATTAATTCGTGTATAGCCGTCCGGCTATACTATTTATTTTTTTATTTTTTAAAGACTAGCCTGGAGCCAAGCGCATATGTTGCGATGTGTCCAAACTAGTATAGCCGCACGGCTATTCCGTTTTAAAGCCCCTTGTGCCAATTTTTTTTTTTTAAATTTTATTTTTAAAATTAAGAAAAGATAACATGGGTAGTTATGTTCCATAAAAGTAGGATCTATTATCTGATTTTGTTTTTAATTTTAATTTTTTTAAATATGAAAAATGTGAATTTACCATATTATCCTCATTTAATTAATAATTTCAATTCTTAATGTTTGAATTAACCAAGGGAATTTTTTGGTATTTTGAATGTTTCACCATTCTCTGCCTTTTGCTTTATATATATAGATTAAAAAAAAACCCTAAGTATAGGCGGTATTCTAATAATTTGTTTTCCTCAGTGTGCAGTCTTGCAAACGTTGATCCTATTGATGTTGCCATAAATATTGCAAGGTTAAACCCATAAACTACCCTCGGTAAGCATTAAGTTTATTTATATCACTAAATATTGACTTTTGTAATCTAAGCTCTATGTGGGGTTTCTTATCATTCATTCATATTCTTTTGATATTTGCAGTTGTGGTAGTTTTGAAGACCTTTACAATAGCTGAAACAATGTTGAATGTTCGAACCCTTTGGGAATGGATTTCATCTTCTCCTTCCTGTCCAGTGAGTTTTGCTACCATAATTGGAATTTTTTTCAGGAGTATAGCCGATCGGTGATTCTGAATTTATGTGCTTTTTCCTTTTCTATTTTGATGGTGATGCTATTTATTGAGTTCATTAGGACGAAGGTAGATACCCTTGTTATTTCTATTTCATACTGAGTTGATGGTGACGCTATTTGATGTTTAACTCAAGTAAATATGCATTTCATGAACCCTCATAGGGTTCCTCCTGCTTGTGGATTGCCACTAATAATGGATAACATCCGATTTCTTATACATAGTTGCAGATCAGATCATCTCTCCTGATAGGGTTTATCTTTAATTTTTGTTAGAGCCACTGGAGCCCAAACTTATAACTAGTGATTCCGACCCTTTTCTTCTTTGTCAAAGAGAGATTGGTGAGTTTTGGCTCGAGTGACAAGGTTGAAATGTGATCAAGATCATCTAGACTCAATCTCGACCCATCATAATTGCGTGATAATCCTATCAACATATTCATACAAAAAAGTGGCTCTTGGTGAGTGGTGGCAAAGCGAAATAAAAGTTGCACTCCATCCTTGACAGAGTTTAGGGTATGGAACTTTGATTTTAAGTGCACTCCATTCTTGACAGAGTTGACATGTTAGGATATTGAGCTTAGATTTTAAGTTTTACTTCTCAAGTTTCTGGCCATGTTCCCAACAATTCACTCTCTCTTTTCTGTAAAGAAATCTATTGAGGATTTGGTTCTAAGGGTATTATATTAATTTGTTTTCCTGTGTGTGCAGTCTCGCAAACGTTGATCCTATTGATGTTGCTAGAAATATTGCAGGGTTAAATCCAGAAACTACCCTCGGTAAGCATTAAGTTTATTTATATCACTAAATATTGACTCCTGTAATCTAAGCTCTATGTGGGGTTTCTTATCGTTCATTCATATTCTTTTGATATTTGCAGTTGTGGTAGTTTTTTGAAGACCTTTACAACAGCAATACCTTTAAATATATTATTTAAGGAGTACCACCGATTGGCTATACCTTTAAAATATATTATTTAACGAGTACCGCCGCGCGGCCGTATCGTTTAAATATATTATTTCAGGAGTATAGCCGATCGGCTATACTATTTATAAAATTAAGGACCTTTTTGGGTATAGCCGTTCGGCTATAATCTTTAAATATTAATATATTCGAATATTTTAA